CAGGGGTCGGCAACCTGCGGCTCTTTGGATGTGAAGCTGCGGCTCTTTAGTTCCATACGCAAATATTATTTATTTTATCAAAAAAAAACATTTAAAAATCGTTCTGAATCGATTAACTGATCGATTAACGAGGATTCGGCACCGATTCCATCTCTCAGCCACTTGTACTTGCTTTTCATCGCACCCCTCCCCCGTGAGACGCGTCGTCACTGTCGTCAGTCCGTCGGAAGCTCTCGAATGACGCCGTCATCGGATGTTTCTATGAGGTTTAATTCGCTTTCGATGCAAGACAATTCTGAATAAATAGATTAGTTTTTTTATCAAAAAACTTTATTTATGCGAGTACTATTTATTGTTGGCAAGAAAAAATTTTGTGGCTCTTTAAAAACTTTGAAATTTTGTAAATTGTAATTTTTGGCTCTTCCGACTCAAAAGGTTGCCGACCCCTGTTCTAGTCCAAATATCTTGCAAACTTGGGACTGAAAATGATCTGGATTTCTGGATACAGACTAAATATGTACTTAAAATATAAAATAAACAATAGAAAACAAAATAAAACTATTTTCAACACACCATATGCCTGAAATTGGTATTGTGCAAGTCATATATTACGAAAACCAAAACAAAGTGACCATGCAGCCATCTAACTACAGCCTGCCAAATTCAAAACTAGCCAATTTTCTGGTGATTCTAGATTTCTGGATGTTCAGTACTGTATTTATAATGTTATTTTTTAAAAAATGCCTTTTACAAAGGTTTTTTTCTAGCTAATTGATTTGATCCAGATGTCCTGGCATTACAATAACATAATATTTTGTGATTAACTGATAATTTACAAACTAACAGATGTATAATATTTTTAATTTGAAAGATGAGAAGAAACATGCAGAATTATGTGCAAGTGTCTGTACAAGCATTTAAACTCATTTTACGAAATGAGAAAAATATGCATATTCTATATTTTCATTAAACTGTTTAAATAATCATTCTTTAAAAATAATAACTTTTCAGTTCATCTAAAAATTTTCAGAATTAAATATTCCATTTTCAAAGGAGCTTTTTTAAATTCCATAATTTTAATCATGTTAAAATAAATTCTTACAGAATTTGCATTTGAAAAATAGAAACCTGTCAAATGTAACGAAATAAGTTTACTGCCTTTATAAATTTCAAAAAGCAATATAGACACATTCATATGATGATAAATTTTATCATGAAATAAAGGCAAAATTCTATTTTATTTAGTGAAATAGGTAAGAAAGTGCCAAAAGTAACAAAAAATAATTATATAGAAACCTTTACTATATTGTTATATCTAGTAATTTTTTCAATATATATGAACAAATAAAACAAAAATGCATATTTTTAAAATAAACATTAAACTCCTTAAAGATTGCATTTAATGAAAGTCACAAAGCTAGTCTTAATTTATTTAATAATTTTGAAGTGTCAATATAAATTGAAGGTTTTTGTCACATCTTGTTTATAATATATTTAGTACTTTTATGGTAGATACACCATACTGAATTAAAATCCTTAGTTGAATTTTCAGCCCATGTTTACTATTTGAGAATAGTAATTTGGCAAAGACCTAGAATTTTTGAGAGTTTGTGACTCTAAGATGATGCCAAACATCTTGGAAACATGAGGATGACACATGAAACACATTCTGTAAACACCAAGGTAAAGATTTGGCAAAATTTCTGTTGTGTTACATGCAACATACAGTATCATGACTTCAAAAATTCAAAAGTATCATTTTTGAGATATTAACAATTTTGTATGTTAGATCTACATTTACTATCTACCGTGTAAATGCTGATTGCTTTAACACCCTATACACTTCAGAATCTACTTCATACAAAATTAAAATGATTAATTTGTCAGAATCAATAATTTCTCATGAAATAAATATGATTTTTTTAAATTTAATTTTCATTAAAAAAAAACAGTAATTATAAATTGTACATCAGACATTTTGTTAAAATTCTTCAAATTAAAGTGCTCTTATTTAATTTTAACTAATAGTGCTGGATATTATTTTTTCTTATCTTTTAGGTATGAGACAGAATTATGTAGATGTTCTAAATCCTAGTTCAAATAGAAACAATTCAATGCAAAGTGATACACTGTCAAAAGGTGAAGAAAAACCCATGCCAACATTTTTTGTTCCTCAACAAGGTAATTATGATAATAGTAAAATTTACATAAATTTTGTATGCTTTTTATTTGATAAAAAATTATTTTATTTAATTAACATTTATCCACAAGATTAATCCATCTAATAAAAAATGTATCTATATTAATATTTTACAATTATGATTTCAACTTCTATCACTATCATCAGACTTGATAGATATACTGGTCCTTGCGCTGCCAAAACTCTAATGCTACAATACTGGCATAATAAATATTTCTGCCACTTCGAATGCTTCAATCATGTCTATGCGCAAGTTTGGCTTCAGCATAAAGAGAGTCAGCTGTAAACATTTGAAATTCTTTTAATATATGAAATTTTCTTGTTTTTAACTCAGATATTGCTTTTGTCTTTTTCAAAGGACTGCTTATAAATACTATTTTAATTCAGTTTTGAACATAATTTTTTCATAAATGTCATTAATATTTATATATCTATTAACTGTCACTTTCACAATTTTAGACTTTAAATTGATTAGACTATTTGTTTTTTGCTTACAATTTGAGTTCATTTTTAAATATTTTGGGGAGTTTTTGTTGTGAGAAAACAGTCAAAAAATTTATAGTAAAGTTTGTATAGTATATACATTATTAATATGGGATGTCTTCAGCATTCCCAAGAACTCTCTGAATCAGGAAGAAAAGGAAAGGTTGAAAATTATATACATTTAATTATGGAAAGGTATAGAAATGTTAAACCATATGTTAGGATAGGATAGATTTAGTGTTACAAAAAAAAGAGATTAAGATTTAGGATGGCTTTGGAGTTTATCAAGGTTAAGCCCACATTTTTTTTATTTATTAATATTATGTAAATTATTGTAGTTTGCAGTGAGAAAAGAGCTATGATATCTGTTGGGTGGGCAAGCAAGAGTTCAGTTGGGAGCCGAAATGTAAGTTTTGCAAAATGCATGGGAGCCGCAGTTATGTATTTTTTTTATTCTGTACTGCAGTTCTGTACATTTTTATTCTGTACTGCAGTTCTGTACTGTACTTTGATTTTATTATATAATATTCTAGCTGTGGCTCAAAATGTATCTATTATAAATGTATAACACTCCCCGCGGGAGAGAATTTTGAAAAATCCCTTTTTAGTGTACATTCTCTTAACGTACCCTAGTAAAACGCAATCAAAAACGCAAAAATCCGCATCTAAAATAGTATAATAGAAGCCGAGTTCTTCACAGTAAGCCTTAATTTTGTCCCTCTCCCCTGGTGGGAATTTCGACATCTATATAATATACAAGTTTGGACACGTGCACTGCATATCTTGCCGACCACGTGACTGCACTGTGCGGTTACACCAAAAATATAATGATATCTTTTAATTTATATGAATGTTTAATGGAATAATATACAGCCTATGTCCACCCTGAAAGTCCATTCTAAATATTGGTAAAAGAATTTTTGAAATTGGATGAGTAGTTTCGGAGATTACCTCCTACATATATACAAACTTACAAACTTTGCCTCTTTATAATATTAGTATAGAAATATAATATAAAACAAATATTGAATTTTTTTAATAAACATATTTTCACAGAATTGTGGAAATAAAATTGTAAAAATAATAATAAAAAGCAGAAATTAACACTTTCAGCAAGAGCCACATGCAGCTCTCGGAGCTGATTTGCCCATATCTGATATATGTTCACAATTTATATTGTGTTTATTAATGATATAGAGTGAGATTAAAGTTGAGCCAAAAAAAAGTTAGGAACAGGTTAGAGAAGGGGATTAAAGTCAGTAGATTTAGTTCTTGATTTCAAATATCGGCTGTTGGAGGAAAAAGAGGAAATTCTAACTATTTAGACAACATATTTACAGGCACATAATAACTTAGAGATGATTAGTGGATGATGAGTTAGAAGTTGATAAATAAAATAGGTAACTGTAGAATGGCAGTATTATTTGATATTGACAGTGCTAGTGATTAGTGATGACATTGAGGGTAAAAGAAAGATATGTTTGTTTACATAGGTCTAAAATATCACTAAAGACAGGTGTAGTATAAATCTTCATTTGTATTGTACTTTTGATAATGCAGAATATTATATAAATTACCGAAATATGTAGAGCCAATGTGAGTGTCATAAGAAATGTAATTTCTCATTTCAAAATTACAAAACTATTTCATCCTAAATACTATTTCTCATTACACTAAATCAAGTAAAATTGCATAGCACACTTTATGTAATATTAAGTAAAGACAAACTATTTTTTAAATAATTTATTAATCTGGATTAAACTTTTATGGCTAATTAAATGTATCAGAGGATAAGCTATGGTTTTCCTAATTATATTGCCATACATACGTAATAAAACAAAACAGTAAAATGCAAATTTATTTACTTATTTTATGATTACCTATTTATTAAATAGATATATTATACTCAGAACATTATCTACAAAACTTTCACAATATGTAGCAATATAACTGTTTTAAACATTATAAAAGAGCTTCTTGTCTTGAAAATTGTTGAAACTAATATCTCAAATACTATAGTAGAGGTAACAGAGATGTGTTACAATGCTATTGATAGCATTAAAATGATAAAAATGACACATCTATCATCAGAATGCAATCTTCTATGTTACCAGTAGTAGTGTGATAAGTCTCTGTTATCTCTACTATAGTATTTGAGATATTAGTTTTAACAGTTTTAAACAGAGATCTATTTAAAACCTGAATAAATTAAATTGAAAATATAACTCTTTTTGATTTATCCACATCCTCATCTGTAATTTAAAATTATTGTGTTATTAATTTTTTATAAATCAAATACAGTGGGTGATCGGTTAACAAACAAATCGGATAATGAACACTTTTGCGAAAGATTTTTATGATCGGACAATGAACAATTCACTGAACAAACATAAAAAGAAGCGACGAAAATAGCAAATACCGATCCCTTGTATTCAGGCAACAATTTGAAGCTTTTTGGATTTGAGTTGAGTCGAAGAGTAAGCAGGCTGTCTGGTGACTTAGCTCTTGTGAAGCGGAAGTAGAAGATTGGGGTGGGTTGTGTTGGTTAGTGAAGGAAGGGCGATAGCTGATAGGAAAGGTGTGAAGGGAAGTTAGTAGGATGGGGTCCCATTGGCGCCTTGCGTCGGCATTTATTGAGAGGACAAGACAATATACATTATACAAGTACAATATACAATATACATAACAGAGTCCAATCCGGATGGGTGGTATAGGCTCGGGATTCATAGAATCACCTGGTTGCTACATAGGATAATCCGGTTTTACATACCCGTACGATGCGGTAGACAAGATTATATACAAACAGAATCCAATTTGAACAGTTGACATGTGCGCAGTATACAAAGCAGATCCATTTTATATATGCATATGATGAGAGAGACCAGTACAGCAGAGGCCGCCTTAAACGATTAGGGGCCAAGAGCCAAATACCGAGAACACTAAGCATACAACAAATATCAGAGCAGTACATGTTATCAGAAGAAGAGATGCACCACATGACATCAAGACACACTGTTGTTTTGAAAGATTTCACAGTCCAAGGCGAATTTTTCCAGTTGGTGTAAGTTCTTCGTGGCGCAGAAAAAGTCCCATGGTGGGGGCCAACTCTTGCTGTTGGAGACACAGTAGTTTTTTAGTATTTGTCTTTGGCTTGTATACTTAGTGCAACTCAGTATGATGTGGTTGATGTTCCCGATCGACGTACCATCACAATCACAGTAGCTGTCCACCTTCTTTTTTATATGAGCCAAGTAGCTAGGAAGGTTCCCATGGCCGGTCAGGAGCTGCATGAGACCATAGGAAGGTGAGAAGTAATTCATAGTGATCCGGTTTGCAATGGAGGGTAGAAATTGGTAGGTAATCCTGCCTGTGCTAGAGTTGGTCCATTCTTGTTGCCAATGATCCATGATTTTGTTATTGATGTACCTGTGGATGTGGCTTAGAGGGAGTTTGCTGAAGGTAGTCGATAGTACCGCGTTGCCTGCCGCCCTTTTAGCAAGCTCGTCCGCTCGTTCGTTACCTGGCTGGCCAGAATGCCCGGGGGTCCAGCTGAAATTGGTGGGCCTGAGTTTAAATGTCTCGCTAGGTGTTGGATTTTAATCCCTGTTTCAGTCTGCTTCTTGCCCCCTTGTATGCTCCTTAGTACGTAGCGGCTGTCCGTAATGAAGTTTATCGTGCCATTCATTTTTTTTTATATTTCTGTTGACGTAGGAGAGGGCCCTTTCCATTGCCCAGAGCTCGATAGATTGAGAGATAGATTGATAGATTGCCCTGATTGCTTGAGCAGAAATCAGCCAATCTATAATATTCCTCGTGTGCAGTGGAATTTAGACGGTTATTATAAACCACAAAGGCCGCCCCTGTACCCTTATCGCTGCTGGCCCCATCTGTGTAAACATGTCAGTTGTAGTTGGAATGGTCAATTTCATTAATGTGCGTGAGTATGGCATCCATCTCTGCTGGGTGGTTATGAATGGCAGTACCAGTTTTGTAGTAGTCCACACCGTAGGCCTTAATTTGGTCCATTATATCAGCGTCCTCTTGTGAGGTGTTGTTTCTGTAGGTAATTATTTGGTTGTCTTCCTCGTTGAGGCGACTATTTTCCTTCTTAAGTGTCCTGGACCAGACCATACTGTTGATTTTTATATGACTTGGTTCAATATTTGCGATGGCAAGGAGGGCATCTGTAGGTGCTGTGCGGTAGGCTCGGCAAATTCTGATGGCGAACGATCTTTGGACCGAGAGTAGTTTCCTTTTATTGTGCACGATGGTGGCTCTGTCGCCCCAGATTTGAGCAGTGTACAGGAGCGCCGGCTCAATTGCTCCTTTATATATTAGTCTGCAGTTTTTCGTGCTGATCCCCCAAGAGTTTCTGGTGATGTGATATAGCATGTTTGCTCTCCGATTTATTTTTTTACAGAGCTCCTCGATATGGGTCTTGTAGTTCAGAGTAGGGTCGAGTAGTATTCCCAAGTATTTTAAGTGTGTAGTTATCTTGATTTTTTGATTATTGATGTAAAGGCTGAGCGGCCTTTGTAGTTGTTTCCTGTTTGATTTTTTGGTGCAAACCAAGGCTTCGCATTTCTGGTAGTTAATCGGTAATTTATTTTCCTTACTCCAATGGTTTAAGATTTCGAGGGTATTGTTTCCAGTCTTCTGGAGGACATCACGGTTCTGGTGCCTCACCATCAATATCGTGTCATCTGCGAAGCCTTGGATTTGAGCGTCAGTTGTTTTTGGGATGTTATTCAGAAGGTCGTTATAGACAAGGTTCCAGAGGCCGGGTTTTTTCCGTTTTAACCCGGAACTTAATTCCCTTGCCAGGAACAGCCGATACTTGCCTCATGTTTATGCCTAGACTTGCTGGGTCTATCTTTTCACTTATAACATTCATCATCTCCTCTGAACATAGATCTTCCCCTTCTTTTGTCACTGTTGACACTATCATTAAGTCTTGTGTCTTCTCCCCTTGCTGGGATGTAGCAATAGTGTCAGTTATTATATTTGTGGTACGGCTTCCTCTATGAGAGGTGGACCCCCTTTTTGCCACTTCCATGTAGCTGCTGTTACTCTCTCCTGCACTTTCTTTGGTCCTTAGGGCTAGCACAATACCGTAGATACTATTAGCGGCGGCGTGCATATTGAACGCTGCTCGCCTGATGGCTTTCCTATTGCTCACTGATACTGAGCCATGGGAGTTCGCCGGTACAGCTTGCATAATTATATCGAGTCCCTGGGTGATTGTCTCTAAGAAATCCATCTCTGGGCGATCCATCATTAAAGATTCGTCGTGAAGACACGGAAAAATACAAAAACAGCCCGACAATATACAAACGCGGGTAACCTAGGATGATGTGACCAGCGAGACCCGAAAAACGAGACGAACACCCACCGAATTAGGGTCGGTTAGGGTACTTTACCCGGCCACGTGCAGAGGTCAACGACCTTTGATTCCTTTGTCTGGTACAGATTTAAGATCGCTCGTTATTTTAAGGCTAATATACATGGACACATGAAATTTAGTACACAGGTAGTTAATACATAGATAAAGGAACTGCCGAATAAGAAGGAGAACGGTGGCCCGAGAAGCCTGCACGACGGCCCAAACCGTGACTACTTTCGGTCGTTGTAGAGCGTGAACAAAATGTCGGAGCGAAAATTCAATGACGGCGTTGGAAAGCCCGTAAAAAGCCGAGAAAAATGATGTATTACACTACTTCTTACCGGCGGGATTCACCCGGAAATGGCGGACGGAAAACACAAAAATTCTGGGGGTCCTAACTACTGAACCATTGGTCCGATCTGGAAAAATCCAAAGTCGTTCAACAGCTCGTGAAGAGACGAATCCGGCGATATAAGTTAATCCACTGATTGATCAAAAGTAACACCGATGCGGCGATCCAAAAACAGAGCACATCCACTCACTGCCTAACTGACCAGCCCCCATACAGTACTACCAGCTTTTTGGAGTGCTGGAGACGTCGACATCGGCACTCAACCCGGAATATACTCATCAGATAGTATTCCTCCGAACTTTGAAACTCTCCCTTGTAATTCCAGCCTTTTATTTTTCTGACAGAAACAATTCTTTTATAGTATTCGCGAGACTGTCGGGCGGGCACTCGTTAAGTTTTGCGTCTAATTTTATTTTCGAAAGGTAAAATAGCAAAGGTAGAGAGTGGGCAGAAGATGTCTGATGTTGCTGGGCAGTATGGCTTGGACAAAACTACAGTAGGGCGCAGTTCAATCTTATCTAATAAAGATACAGTATAATCAAAAAGACTCAAGCAGCTAAAAGAGTAACAAAAATCACATCTGAGAAATAAAGAACATTGAAGAGCTTATAATGGAACCTGAAACAGATCTGATGACAGAAGACCGCCAAGAACTCTTGAATGAAGAACATCAAGAAACTCAGCAAAATAGGTTTTATTATGAAAAAGAGGATTAATGCCGATATCTGCTATTAATTAAAGATCTTTTGAAGAAGTAGGGGATGTCAGATCAACAGTCTTACAATGGCATACAAACCAGGTTGAGGTTAATAGGCTTGGGGGATCTCTACAATTACAATGCTATTAATTACTTATGAAAATCCTGAAGAAGAGAGAAAAGCAATCGACAGACAGATTCTTTAACCCTACAAACAAAAAAACATAACTAATAAAAAATATATACTTTCTTACTACGTTCATTTATATGTAATAATAAAAATACATATATACGCAGTCTTGCATTTTTATTTTTTGGAGTCTGCAGAATGAATTAATCAAATTCCCATACAAACGTATGGTAAATTGATAATTGGTTAACAAACAATTCAGATTACAAACAAAGTCTTGGAATGGATTATGTTTGGTAACCGATCACCCACTGTATACTTTTTCTTTCTTTATACATGATGTAAAATTTTAAAAATGTAATTACAAATAAGATTTTGACAGAACAATAGAAAAGTTACACAAATGCTTGAAAACAGTAAAACTCTACCTACTAACCAAATAGATAAACCAACTTCTCACCTAAGTACGACTAATGCCAGCTATCAGCAACCTGACGCATTAATTGTACTTTAGAATATAGCACAAGGACCAGTATATCTATCAACTCTGCTATTATTCATAGACAATTTTTTTTATGGGAATAAAAATCAAAATTTTTTAAAGAATTAACATATCTCTATTCTTATTTGTGCTATTTTAAAAATTATTAAAATTAATTAATTTTACCATTATTTTTGAAGTCAAAACAAATTTGAATAAAGTTCTAATAAAATTTCAACATCAGAAGATATATTTGCACCAATGAACAGTTCAAACTGTTTCTGAAAAATATATCCAGTAAAACATTAATGATGTATTAACAATTAATCACATGTTAATTTACAATGGTTCAAGATGATGAATTTTTATTCTGCTGTAACACTTGAATACTGAACAATATCATTCTTTACATAATTCTGATTTCAAAAACTAGTTTATGCCACTCTAAAATCAATTGTAAAAATTCTTCTAAGACTGAACAAAAAGAGAACAAGAATGTGTTCTAAAGAATTGAAAGAATAATATATTTATCAATAGTTTTTTTGAATCAGTAAGTTAAAATTAAATATTAATCTGTAATATTCCAAACTATATACCAGTCTGTTTTCTGTTGCTAAATATTTTCAAATCATAAGTAATTCAAGTTTTATCAAATTAGTTTTGATTTTTAAAAACAAAGCTGCAATTAATTTGCTTACTCAATTAAAATTATATTTTGTAACAGATAATACTGCAGAATTAAATTTAATTTTTATTATTTCAGTTGCTCTTCCCGAAAGTGAAATGCCTGATTTTACGTTGCAGACACAGTCCTCTGCAATCCCATCTCCACCACCCTTACCTGAAGATCCATATCAAACCGAAAAATCTGCTGAGGTAATGAGTAAGAAATAATGATGGTATACAACAACTGAAAATATTTTCTTGTGATACAAAATTTTATTTTCTTATTCAGAGTAATAATTTTTCGCCAATGATGTTTGATCCAGCAGAATTTACCAGCAGAAACGGAAGTAATGTACAGAGACCTGGAATGGAAAGATTAGCACGGAGAGCATTTTTAACATGATAATTTTTATTAATTCCTATTTTTGTGATTTTGTAAATTGACATTATAAGCAAATGAATCAACTTTGATGCTGCTTGTTTCATCTCAAAAATGGGTTGTTGAGTTGTACATGTAAATTCCGACTAAATATTTCAATGACGTTAAGGTCGGAAAGTTTTTAATTTTCTGGAAGATGGGAATTACTTGTTATTTCACAAGGTGCACTTATTTTGATATAGTTACATGAAATAATATATTTAAATTGAAGATTAAAATAGGTTCTTTTAAAAAAAAGTTGTAGTAAAGACGACAACTGCTAATTGCATAAGTAGGGACAAGGAAACTTGTCTCAATTGTATTCATTTACTGTAAAGATAACATTTCTGATATTAGTTTTTCTAATGGATGTGGTATATATTTGAATAAAACGTTTGACGGGGATTTTTTTTTCTCTCTAATTAATGTTTAATGTTTAATCAAACAATGATGTACAGTTGCAGTTTCCTATTGAAAATTCAAACTATTTTCAGACTGTAAAGATATTTTAGAAAAGGATACATAAAATGAAAATACATATATTTTTCTGTAATTGAATTAGTACAATTTTTTCGTAATTCTATTCTATAGAAGTAATAGCTTTTTTTCTCTGTAGTTTTCAAATAAATATTTGTCTTAAATAGAATTAATGAAATTCATCTGTCCAAGAAACTTATTAAATTTCAACATTATCAAATACCTCTTTAAAATTAATTATTAGATTTAAGTTCATATATGAAAGCAAATGAAACTGCCTCATTGTAATTCAAATCCATCCTTGGAGTGGTTAGACTTTCAAATGCATTAGTAATAGTGGTAATATAAATTTAAAATATACTAAATATCGGATAATTTTTCAATAAAGCATCTANAAAAAAAATGTAGTTTTATTTGCACATTACCTTTGAGGATAGATGACGATGGAGGCGTAAACTGGTGGCAGAGGAGAGGGAGAAGGGAAATGTTACTAAAATTTAACTTACATAACATAAGTTAACAATAACTTAAGTTTTAGTATCATTTCCCTTCTCCCGCCACCAGTTTACACCTCCATTGTCGTCTATCCTCAGAGTTAAAGTGCAAATAAAACTACATTTTTTAAATCAATTATTATTCTATTATGGTTATTTATACATTAACAAATACAAAATGCATTTTTCAGTGTTTTCCTTACTATATTTATTATTTTTAAATGTACTACTTAGCTTTAATTTGAGTGTTTTTTTCGTGTTGGAACGAATTATTTGGTTTTACATGTAATCGTATGGGGAAAAATGATTCATCTTACGACATTTTCATGATACGATCTCAGTTTCGGAACGAATTAATTTCGTATCCTGAGGTACCACTGTACATGCAAAAGCAGCTTAGCTATAACAAAAACAAATAATAATTATAATAATAGAAAAATTCATTAGTAAAGACCTGCTCTTTATGCATTTATAATTGCTGAAATATGCATTTAAATGTGCATTTTTAAATTGTGAGTTAAGCTTACCAATGAACACAGAAAACAATAACTTAAATCATTTACTCACACTAAACATAATTCCTGAAGAGTTAATAGTAACAGTGGCAAATTAAATACATTTTCAAAATTAAACCTTTGTCTTTTATCAGAAAGTATAGATTTATATCTAGAGAAACTTCTTTCAACACAAGTTGATGTATTTGTGCATGTCTAAAACATGTCAATTCTTCAATCATATAGTCAGTTGTTAAATCAGAAATACAGTCTCCATTTCCTTGTAGAACATTGGATATAATTGATAGCTCCAAAATACTAGATTTTTGTCTAGAACTTCTTGTAGCTTTTTGTACCTTTTAGATAGGCTACTTTCATTTTTCAGTAATGTGTTATATACTTTGTCCATAATTTCAAACACTTTACTCAATGGAAGATTTGTGATTTCCATACTGGTGAGTTAAGCAGGTAGAAGCCTAGCATTCAGTGACAATTCTACAAGATGTTCTTCAATTAATTGATTTGAAAATTTGTCTTTTACAATTACAACAGCCACTGCTTCCTCAAAATCTATGTTATCAAGAATCTGCTTTACCTTCTGGTCAAGCAGATTCTTGACAACATGGCTGGGCAGCATAATAAATGGCAGCTTCTATCCATACTTGCCAGCAGGTAAGAACTGGCTTGGGAGAGAATTTGAGATCAAGTTCACAGTTTTTAAAAAAATTTAATTTGAGCTGGACATTTAGTGAATGCCTTCTTTGTGAAGAAAAAAATTCTACTGAGTGTAAGGTGATGAAGTTCAGTCAGATGATAGAAAATAATCAGTAGAAGGATAATTTATTAAAATTTGCATGCTAACATGTCAAAGTTTAAAGCAGGAGGGTTTAATTGCATCTTCCCATGTTTGATAAAAGTGGATGCCTCTATCTGAAAATGCTTGCATTTTATTGGATAAATTTTAATGGAATTGAACTGATAATTTTTTCTACATAATTTTAGATGGAACTGTAGTAAAAAACATACCAAATTTGTATTTATTCATCAAAATATGAAAATATGAATTTATAAGAAGTTTAGCCTAAATGTGTATTTTACATATGCTTCTATGCAAATGCATAACGTTCTAATCATTATTCATTAGTCTAAGGAAGATTACAACTTCACATACAAGACATTAGTGGTGTGCAGTCCATGGAAGCTGTGGAAGTGCCACTTCCCTCATATTTTCTAAAATATAAAATGTAGTTTTTTTCATAAACAAGTTCTTATAACTTTGTTTTATGTCAATGTTTCTATTTTAGAATAAAAATAAATAAACTGTTTATTTTTGTCATTTCCAGTATTTGTTTATAATTTTTATGGAAACATGTCTTCCCTATCATCAAATGTCACTGCACACCACTGCAAGACACAGTGATTTTTTTAACTTTCAACAAAAGTCACATCTTATATGCTGTAAAATATGACATTTAAAAATATGATGAAATAAATTATGTATTCACTTCAGATTAGCCCACACTGACTTTGAATCACTAGCAAATGCAAACAAAACAGAGTGAATAATATATAACATGTAACACTATTTCTGACAAATTTTCCCCTTAGCAAATTGTTCTGGCAGTCATGTTGAAAATTTTTGCTATTTACATTTTGTAGTGTGAACCAATTTATAGCATTCAACTTCACAAATCCAAGTCTGAATTCAACAGTATAAATTTCATTATAACAGGAAAAGATTCCAGAACCCAGGCCACCACTCTATAGTAAATGATATCATCAAAGAGATAATCACCTCCTCTAACTTTGTTTCCTTTAACTGGACAAAAGCTCACATTGGCACCAAAGGAAAAGAGAGGGCTGACAAGCTAGTGAAATCCGCAGCACAGCACAGGACAACGATCTTCATATTTTCTACACTAAAATCCCCATAGAACATTTTAAAAACTTGCTTAAACAGGATCTTATTAAGAGTGGCAAATCAAATGGAATTACAATCATAATCACCTGACTTACAAATTTATTCCTGCAATAAAAGACTACATCAACGATAACTGGATTAACATTAACCACCATGTTACACAGTTTTTAACTGGACATGGTAGGTTTCACTCTTACTGTAGCCGTTTTAATTTACAACAAATGAACCTCTGTTCCTTTTGTAACATTCCAGATGGTAGCAAACATTATATCTTTCACTGCTTTAGTTTAGAACTAGAAAGACATCAACTGAAAACATCAGTGGAAGGTGGAAGAAAATAGGGATACTTGGCATGATACACATAAATACCTACTCAAAAAGCAAAACTACAACTATTTCAAAGATTTGATCAAAAAGTACTTCACCATCAGCACAGTTCCTTCCTTGAGCCAGTAGAACTGTCTCCTACTCAGTGACTTGCTCGCTCATATTGCGTACTTACTGTAAACTGCAATCTGCATGTTCATATTGTATGTTTGTCTCATGCTCATTCTGTATTATGTATTGAATATTTGTATCTGTCACACAGCAAAACAAACAAACAATGTATGTTTTATCAGATATTTTGATGTATGAATTTTATTGTCGCATTTAAGCTTGTTTACTCTACTTGTGAATTACTATACATCTTGGCACGATGCTTATGGAAAGTTTTATCAAACCATGTATATAACCCTCTATTATATCTTACCACCAGCTATGCTCAGCAGTGCTGATATTGTATTATTAGAGAGGTTGCAGCCAACGTTTTCAGCCCAAAACATGAACGTCAGATGTTGAGTGCCACCATCTGGCAATTCTAGAAGGTTGATAATGGCGTTCACTACATGTAGCATGGCAAGTAGAAGTTTCGGCTTAAACTTCTTAATTTTTTTGTGTTTGAGTTAAAATTATGACGTATTTTATTAAAATAATTATTATTTAAGCATTTATGAATAATATTGTAAAGAAACAGATGATTTTAATTCATAAATTATTTAATTATTCAATTCTTATGCAAGTGATGTGAAGTGCCTATAGAATTTACATATACTTCTGTTCATAATAGCTTATCATAATTCTGTAGGAGTAGGTTTGTTCTTTCACAGCATCTTCTACCATCAACAGCATAGATGTAAATTTTCTAAAAATAATTTCCTGAACTGCTTTCAGATTTACATAAGACACTACTTACCTCAACAAAAGTATGAGGTAGTCCTATCATCCTGTCGTATGGTAGGAGACACTAAGCTAATTAAAAATAATTATTTAGTGTTATTAAACATTCTATAAATACTTTAAAATAGTTTAATTTGTTTATTTATCTTTGCTGGTAACATTCATCATTGTTAAATGTTTCTGCCATTTTTCAGTAATATCCCATGAGTCAGTGTGCAACGTGTTTTACTTCGAGTTCAAATGTCAAAAGTGTACTTCTGCTTGCCATACAAGTTTAACGTTTGAACTTCAGCCGCAACCTCTCTATTGTATTATACAGGCAGAATAAAAAAAGTGTGTAATGTACTCAGAAATTAAAATTCACACCTCTTGTAGTGTAGATTTGAACATGTAGAAAATATATATCTAAAAAGAGTTTTTGATGATTTATAACAGATGTCACTAAATCTTTTCATCTTTCTGTATATACTTATATGCAATTATATATTTTGTACACAGTTATTAAAAAACTTCCAGAACATATTCACACATTCTGGCATATAAGTGTGTGTGTGTGTGTGTATAATATGCTTGTTGTTTATTTTGTATCTGTATATGTGTGTGTATACAGGTATATCTCGCCTTACGTCGGTAATTGGTTTCAGGAGAGGCGACTTAAGTCGAAAAACAACATAAGTCAAATTTACTTGTCACTAGGCTAAACCACAAATAATCATTCCCAGTTCTGTATTTTATTTATAAATGCATTTTTAATAATATATGGTTAGTAAGAATCTATTTTAAGCTTACAAACAAATAAATTTTAGTTTTTAATATTG